ATTAGGTTAATATGATATCGCCCCCGAAGTGAGCCAAACATTTACCTCTCGATTCGTGTACCGTCAAACGTCGGGATGTGTCTTGAAGATGCTACCTCGTTGACGTCGATAGACGTGTAACACGATAGAATATTCGCGTTCCATGTTGACGAAGGAAATTCAATTAAACCCTTCTCTTACAGAAACACAATCGGAGTCTGCTCAAAATCTTAACCAACACCAATGCTTCTCTTATAATAATATCGTTCGTTATTTTAAATTTCATTTTTTCTTTGGTTATAGCTGTACAAATTTTATTTTGCTTTTCTTAAAAAATTTTTGCCTGTTATCAATTATTTCGTGGTTATTTTGTGAATGTCAAAAATTAATCTTGAAAATCTCTTACCATATCTAGATTTTAATTTTTGTCTTGACAATGTTAGAAATTTGATTCTAGACTTCCCTTAAAATAATCTATATCTGAGAATTATCTTGAATATTTCGTTGATTAGAATCTAATATACATATCTAATGTAGAGGAAAGTCCTATTATGAGATAGGGTTTTAACATGAGATAGTAGATTTTCAACATTCAATTTCAATCACAAATCTTTTTTCGCAACGATCGCACGATCTAACGATAAATTTTCCATTAAACAGATTTCACTCCAAGGGCAATAAATTCATGGAAAACCCAACAGATGATGCCTATTAATTTAGTAGCAACCCCGCTATCTCATATTAGAAACTTATTTCATAACAGGGGACTTTTTTCTATATTAGATATCTCTTATAGATAGAAGAAAAATTTTAATCACCTTAAATAATTTCAGGTAAGAGTTTCTTTCTTTGTTTTATCATCAGGGCTTCTTGAAAAGTGAGAGTGGGGAATGTGGGACATACACCCGGTGCTGCTGTTGTCCCGGTTTCGATACTGGTCCCAGCCTTTTCCAGCTCGCCCCGGGGCTTTTCGCAACGCGGGCGGCTGCGTTCATGCATATGCGTTTTACAGATTGTCTAAGGACCGTTCATAAATGGGAAAGGTCGGAGTAAAACATCCAGGTCGTCTTTACTTATCGATGCACTTTCAGTGCAATTTCGCAAGAATTAGTAAAATGTCATAGGGTGCTGTTGTAAAAACTCATTGAGGCGATGCTTTATTATGTATTTTTTGTATTTTACGTAAAATGAAGGAAGAGGAAGAGAGAGAGGAAGAAAATGAAACAGCGCTGTCAATGGGAGTAAAATAACGCATCAAAATTAAAAATATAATATATGATTACATTTTGTTTCTGTATATTAATATTTGAAACATTTATTATTTTATTTGAATAAAACAATGCGATATTATTTATTACAAACTAAATTAATTATAATTTGACAATAGTTAATTACAATTATTTATAATAATAAATGTTATATTTATTTATCATTAAATTAAACAAGCTGTTATAAATTAGTTTTTTAAAAAGTTCTATTTAGTTTTTTAAAATAAAGTATCTGTGATTTTACTGCATGAATTTTCTCGTAAATGCTGAAAAGTATATATCTTTGATAACGACAATAAAATATTATTGCGACCTTCTGAACCGAAAATACGGATTATTGACCAATCGCCACGATAAAAATAACATAACACGAAGAACGTGTCGCACGTGTGCTTCATTAAAACTTACGGGTCGTGAAACGACCTCCAGACTTCGCTGTTCTCGCTTCATTACTTTATAATCGTTTATTTAAAGACTCTAAAATAGAAGTTATGCCC